TGTAAGAAGCGCCGCCAGACGCCAGCTGCTGAAGTGCCATTCGGAGGAGGAAGCCCCTCGGAGGCGCCGAAGACCCCGGGTGAGGGGCCGGGCAGGACAGGCGACCCCGGACCAGGGCTGGGGCGCACGGTCGTAACGCGGCCGCCCTCACCAAGGTCGGGGCAGCGGCTCTCGGCCCCATGGGGGCGGAGCCTGCTGACGGACCTGAGGGACTGCAAGGCGTTCACCAGCTTTGCCAGGGTCGCCAGAGCGGCCTCTCGCTCGGCCAGGCAAACCCCGGAGGCCGTGGGGCCGCTAGCAGAAGCAGAATTCATAGGGCCGGGGATTTAGCTCAGTGGTTTCGCCCCCCTGCTGCGCAAGTGCAAGGACCCATAGTTCGATCCCCGATACCCCCCCCAAAAAAAGCAGAATTCATATGCTCAGCCGCGTCAGCAGGTGCTGGGCTTGAGCTGGAGACTTAGCGGGGGCTCACTTGTCCACCAAGCTGACCCTCGTCAGCCCCTGGGAAATGTGCTGGGGTCTCCCTGCAAAGAGAGGGGAAGTGAGTGACCCCTACAAGGACACAGAGAACCGCGTGGTCAGTGGCGCCCCGAGGGATTGGTCCTGCTGGGCTGACCAGCCAGGTGTGAGCAGAGGCCTCTGCAGGTGGTCTGCATCTGCTTCTGCACCTGCAGGGAGGGAGCCGAGAGAGGAGTGGGTCCTGGGAAGGCACAGGCGACAGTGGCTGCTGCCCAAAGAGAGGCTCGGTGACTGCAGCAAGATGCAGCTTTGACAGCAGAGACAACCCATAGGGAGGACCCGCCGACCTAGGACCCTCCATGGGAAAACATCTCTGCCTGGCCATCAGGGAGAAACCCCGAAAGGTGTGCCTTATGCCTAGGGGTGTGCAGGCTGGTACTGGGCCACCCTGGTGTCCAGATCCCTGTCCCCCTCACAGGGAGGTAGATTAGCAAGCAGTTCGGGGACAGAGGATGGTGCGGCACCTCGCGGCCGCTCCTGGCGCCTGTACAGCAGAGAGTAGGGTTGGCCACTTGAGTGGTGATCCACACAGTGACGGACCTGCTACAGGGCACTCAGGCAGGCCACACCTGCGACTCAACCCCTGTTCTGTGACCACAAATGGCAACATCTTCTCAGAGCCTGTCAGTTGTCCCAAAATGGTCAGGGAAACCACCCTGTTCACCCCTGCCTCCCACAAGGAGGCATCAAAACAAGATTTAGACCTATTTCCTGCTGTTAGGAAGGAATTTGTCCCTTGTGCAGTGAGGGGCCAGGCTCCAGAATCACAGTTGCTGTCATAGACTGAGTGTAGGTCTCCCCTGAGACTACCAGGTTTGGGTGTGGAATTCTTGAGGGTGGGCTGTCCCTCCATGGTGGCTGCTTAATAGGGCCCAGGTGGCGGGATGACACTCCATGATGAGGCCACAGAAGGTTATACCTGCCTTCTTGCTGGTGCTCTGTTGGTTTCTTGTCATACTCCTTGAGGAAGGAGCTGGCATGTTGGAGAGGCCCGCATGGCCAGGAGGTAAGGAGGCCCCGGCCTACCGTCAGTAGAAGCACACAAGCTCTCAGTCCAACAGCCCAGGAAGGACAGAACCTGTCAACACCAGGGTGTGTGGAAATGGACCCCCTAGTCAAGATTTCAGGCGTTCTGGTGTTGAGTGAATAAATATAGATGGGATTAATGCTTATAAATGTTCACAACATTTTGAGTCATCAGTTGCTAAATATAATTCAAGTATTCTTAAGGAGGGGAAAAGGGGTTGAAGGGAGGAGAGGGGAATGGGAAAAATGAATTAAGACATATAATGTACAGGTACAAATTCTCTATGATGAATTATGTATATCTAAAATGTACCAATATTTGATCCCCAGTACCAAAAAACAAACAATAAAATGTACCGATAAACTTAATTTTTAAGTTTTCTTGGCTTCTTAAGGTTTATAAAAAGAATGTATTTTGATCTATTAAATGTTTGTGTGTGTGTGTGTGTGTGTGTGTGTGTGTGTGTCCCAATAGAATTTTATTTACAGAAAATACCAGGGGTGGCTGGAGGGTGGGTGTGTGCCAGGCCTGAAACCTTCCACTTGGCTGCTTCCAGGTGTGGCCTTTAAACAAACTAGTAAATGTAAAAACAAAACAAAACAAAGTCCACCTTTATTTACAGAGACAAATGACAGGGAGAACTCAGCCCACAGTCTAGTTTGCTGACCTAGAATGCCTTCGTGACCCTCCGGGTCAGCCATGGGCTCCCAGGCCAAAACCAGGAGGAAACTTCTCTTTGGCTAAATGCTCCTTGGGTCTGTGCCAGTCACATTGGGCATAGAAGAAAATTAAAGCCAGTTTCCATGAGATCCCAGGAAACTCCTGGTCTCTGCCACCAGGGCAGGCAGCAAGGCAGCAGCCCAGCTCCCAGGGCACTGGGGTCTCACATTGCCGGAAGGGATAAGCAGGGTGGCACTGTCATCCCCCAGATGAGAGATCAGGCTCCCTGAAGTAAGGCCACTCAGCGGGTTCACAACCCCGGTGCCGCTGGGCTGGGCTCGGCTGGCACCCACTCTGATGCTCCTTCTGCTCACCCCACCACTGATTGTGGCCACCACCAACTGTTGGGGGCATGCAGAGAAGGGAGGGGAGAGCCTGGCTGCTGCCACAAGTCTTGTGCAGTCCCAGACCAGGTCCTGACACAGTCAACACTTTGTGCCAAGTAACCAGGGTGGGGGCGCCCTGTGCATAGTAATGATCACAGCATCTCTGACCACTACCCGCTGCATCCATCCCTGTTGTTCTGTTGTTGTTGTCGTCATCATCATCATCATCATCATCATCATCATCATCATCATCACAGGGGATGGAACTCAGGGCCACTGAGCTACATCCCCACCCCTTTTTAAATGTTTGAGAAAGGATCTCACTGAGTCACTAAATTGCTCTGGCTAGAGTGAAATTTGTGATCCTTCTGCCTCAGCCTCCCATAATACTGGGATTATAGGCCATTGCCACCACATCCAGCTCCATCCCAATTTTGACAACCCAAATGGTCTTGAGACAGCCCAATGGGCCCCCTGGGAGGCAAAACTGGTCCAGTCTGAAATCCACTGCCCTAGGGTAAGAACACACATGAAAATAGGGCATGTACTACTCAACAACAAAAAGGGGGAAGGGGCATCAAGGGTCAGAACTGGGTGAGAGCCTGGGGACCAGATATCCAGAGTTTCAATATAACAGGAATCCCCAGGTCAGGAAGCTCAGCAAGTTGTGGTTTCCCAAGTGAAGCACTCAGCAGAGAGCAGAGGGGAAACCACAGCTGCCCAGGACACACTGAGATGCATGCTGTGGATCTCTGTGGCCACCCAGGGGAACCAAGGCCATCATAGCTACAGGCAGGGGATTCCCCACCATCCCATTATCTACCCCTTTCCCAGCATGGCTTGGCAGGAAGGAGTATAAAGGAGGAGGCAGTGGGGACACTTAGTGAGAACTGATGCATGGCACTGGCATACGTGTGCACCCTTCCTAGGTCAGCCTGGGATCCCCCAGGATCCTGCTTGGCTCCGAACCCCAGAAAGTGGCAAGTCTCTCAATGCCATCTGCTTCCTAGGCCTCACACCTAGGGCGTGGCATGGGGTTTTGTGGCTTCTGACAGAACATCTTCAATATCCAGCGGGGGAGGGGCCCAAGAGAGTTGGGATGTCAACTTGCCCCACTCTACTTGTCCCACTATCCCAGTGATAAGGTGCTGTGGTGCCCAGCAGCCCAGGGTGGGGGCGATCCTGGGTCTTTGAGGTCCCCGAGCTTGAGCAGATGAGACAGGCCAAGCGGTAGGCTGAGGCCAGCAGGAACTCACTCAATGGGTTGTTCTGAGTCTTTGGTGTCATGGGCCCATGTGACACTGAGTCACCCTAAGCTCCTTGGTCCCCAGAGTCCCAGGCGGCCCATGTCAGCGAGGCCCTGCTGCTCACTCAGGCCTGGGGCTCTCGGGGCGGGGAGCTGGCAACACTTCCTATTAAATGTTTTTATAAATTTTATATATAAAGGTTTAAGATTGATTTCTTAAGCTTACTAAGAGTTAAAATTCTAATGTACATTAACAACATATTAATAATGTATAATTAGGCTGGGGATTTAGCTCAGTGGCACCACAGCAGCCTCAAAAGCGCAAGGTCCTGAGTTCCATCCCCAGTACTGGAAAGAAAAATGCATAATACTGTTAATGTACATTAGCAATAATATATATTTAAAATTTTCTTTAAGTGGGGTCCCTTAAGTGGGGGATCTACATCTACTGGCTTTCACTAGCATTTTGTTATAATGAGATACATTTGTATATTTGTAGTCATTACCACTGTTTTCTTTTTTGGTACTGGGGATCAAACTTGGGACCTTGCACTTGTGTGGCAAGTGCCAGAACCACTGAGCTAAATCCCTGGCTCATTAACACTGTTTTCTAAACTTGTAGGTCTAAAGGTATCCTTTGACTCTTGTCATTGCTGTTACATTATGTAAGCCTGTTAAAGGAATGGAAATTTTGCCTTAAGTATAAAAAACTAAGTCAATATACGTAGAAGAGTTCTATATAGCTGATCCATTGGCTTCTTGTATAAGTGTGCCTACAGGATGAAAATGTCAACATAAAATATTCTAGCTACTGAGCTTTATTACCTTTGTGGTATGAATTTTCTTTTATCTATTCCAGATTTTATATGTTTATATTACCTAGAACCAGTCATTACAAAGATCTTTAGAGCTACAAAGTAGAGGCTAAATCCTAGGTTCTAAACCCCATAACAAGAGTTTTAAAGGCCAGATGGTCACTGAAAACATAAATAATCTTTGAGCCAGGCATGGTGGTGAATTCCTGTAATCCCAACACTTGGGAGGCTGAGGCAGTAGGAAAGCTATGAGTTTGAGGCCAGCCTGAACTACAAAGCAAGACCCTGTCTCAAAAACAACAAACAAAAAAAGATAATCTTTATTTCATTCTTTGGGTATATTATAATTAAAATTTTAAAATTAGATTTCTTATTAACAAAACAAGGAAGAGTCTATATATTATACTCCACCTGTTGTACTTAAACACCTCAAAACATGTATGTTAATATTAAAGATAATTCATCATTCTATTTTTAATTTGTGGCTCTTGTTTAACATGATTGTAATACTCATATCTTCCAGACTTCTCCAGCTCCTAGTCTTGCTGACACTCACCTGTGCTATTATTGAAACAATGTTGTGTATATATTTCTGACAATTCTGCAAATGTCTTCTGCATTATAAAACCTATATGTACAAATTAATGTAATGTCAGATTCTTCCTTAAGCCTCAATGACATACTGATAACGAATCCTATCTTCCTATATCTTTTAGTTCAGTCAAGATGAGACTTGAGTCTGGGTTAGGTAAGGTCAGCCCCATCTCAACCTGATGCAGTTAAAAGAAAAAAGATATCTAGGCCCCTCTGCAGCCCTTAAGAATAAAGTATCAAAATCTGGGGGTACGGGATGAAGTAGGATAGAAATACGGGTAGAAAGGAGACAGAATCATAACTTTAAAAATGAAAACTGCAACTTCAAGATATAAATCTAGTTTTTAAAAAATTTTCTCCCAAGATATAATAAGCCTGGGCCATTTCCTTATACCTGCAGATGAACTGGGGCCATTCCCTTTTACCTGTAGATGGGTCTGTTACCTATAAATAAATCACCTCTTTTCACCTGTAAAATTGGCCTTTCCCTGGAGATGGGCTGCAGCTCTGTCACCAGTGATTGCTGATCGCTACCCTATCTGAATGAGCCACCACATCCTCCCCCTGCAGAAAGAGCTGTCACCTTTCAGCTATAAATTGAATCCTCTCATCATAGATTCACAAGTTCTATAGATTTCTACTCCTAAATTCCCCATAAATATACCCAGCTCAGGGCCATTAGCACACCTCTGTCTTGAGGGCCTGCACTTTTATTTCTTTGAGTATGTACTTTAAAGATTATGCCTAATAAATCCCTTTATGCATCTTACTGATGTCTCCTGAAGATTCTTTTTCTGCTTTTGTTTTTGTTTTTTGGTACCAGGGATTGAACTTGGAAACTTGCGCTTGCAAGGCAGGCAAGAGAACCACTGAGCTAAATCCCCGGTCCAAGATTCTTTTTCTGTGATGGAAGTCAGTGAACCTGCAACCTGTCCCATGGGCTCCCCATCTCCATTTTGGAGACTTCCTCAGACTCTGTCTGGTGACATAACCACCACTGGCCCCTCATGGCTTCATCAAGCTCAGCTATGGGAGCTGGCATTCCAGAACCCTAGCTTAGGGGAGCAAGGGAATAAGAACAGAGTTCTGATTCCTAGCCCTTTGATTGGTAGCCCCTTTGAAGTTCTGTCACTGGACTAAGAAATTAGTTCCCATTTAGCCATCAGGAACCCATGAGAAGTGAACTGTACTCCTAAAATATTCCTGATTACCTCTTTAGTCTGTTTGAGAAGAGAGCAGTGGGAATGAAGAGGCCATTGCAAAATCTTTTTTAATCTAAGAACAGACTAAGCACATAGCAAGGAGAAAAAGGTCCTCTCACTAGCTGAACACTGAACTAAAATTCCTACTGACTGGAATAAACTCAGAAAAACGTGTGCATGGATTGGACACACAGGACATGGGAACATGAACAGCAGAACATGAAGGGTAATGCAGTCTCACAATGTTTCTTCCTTTTTCCTTGATCCACTCTTCCCTCCTTGGGAAACTCCAATAGTAGAAATCTTATTCACCCAAAGACCTGATTCTAGACAAAAATTATATGAATTGCACATTTCTGCTTGTTGAACAGCAAACTGGTTTTCCTCCGCTTTGTTCTGCTCTTTCTGCCAATAAGGCAATTTCCTCTTCTTTATTTTGCAGGGCCAACAATTATAATACTGTGCTGTTCTGTTTATAACCAATGCAAGGAGGACAATAATAATGAAGAAGATGGTAGAACTGCTTCCTTCATTGGGTCCTGGCCAAAACACAGAAGATATAGAAATTGGGGATGGCGGGTTAAAGACAAGAGAATCATCGCACCTCAGCCCACCAAGCCCAATTCTCAGTCTCACCTTCCCCAGTCCAGTAAAATCTTTCTATGATTTTACCAAACCCCTGGTGGATTTCTATCCCAAGCCTAGCAGCAGGGGAGCAGCAGTCACCTTGAACAATAACAGCAATGTCTTTGCTTACAGAGCCCAGCTGGTTAGTGGCTGTGCAGCGGTAGATTCCAGTGTGGTTCTGGGTCGCTTTCTGTGGTACTTCAAGGTCAGTGATAATCCCATTCCAGGTACACACTAAAGCTGGAGCTGGGTTTCCCTCTGGGACACAAGCAAGCATCTGCTCCTTCCTTTTACCCATGTCTGCTTGCCAGGGCAACCAGATTCTTCTAACCTGGGATTGTCTGCAAAAAAAATGAATCCCTCAAGGAAGCCAGCTCTTGTGTGCCCTTTTCCCTCCTAACCTCCACGCTCAGCTCACCCTCCTTGCCCAACCTAAGTGCTATTTCCTTAACAAACTTCTTTCCAAGGGAAAGACTATCAGTTTCCTGCTTTGAACCAATTCCCCTTTCTTCCATTTGGACAAGCAGCCTGAGATGAAACCTAGGGTATTTTTATGCATTCAGACTAAATGGTAAACCATTGCTATCAGTGGGGGCCTGGAGCCCCTGTTTCCTATCTTAGCTTCTCAGTGGGTAGGGACAAACTCAGAAATGTGGATTTTTTTTTCTTTGGTACCAGAGATCGAACTTAGGACCTTGCACTTTCGAGGAAGGCGGCAGAACCACTGAGCTAAATCCCCGGCCCTCTCACTTTTCAAAATACAAATTTTGATATGGAAATTTCCCTCCTTAGCATCAGCTCCACTAATCCTTTTGCTTTTATTTGATTTATGTATTGCTTTTGTGAGACAGGGTCTTGATATTAGTTCAGGCTGGCCTTGAACTCACAGGAACCTGTCTGCCTCAGCCTCCCAAGTGCTGGGATTACAGGTGTACAGCACCATGCCTTTTTAATGTTCTTCTCAGCCATCCACCCTCAACAACTGCTGTCTGGCTGCTTTAAAATTTTTTCTTTCTAGCCTCCATTTCCCCTCATCTTCCTTTATACTCACTTTCCTGGGGGCAAGGTAAGCTCGGAGAGTTTCCATTTTATTTTCTCCTTTGATTTTTTTGTTTATTTGTTTGTTTGGTTAGAAAAAAAATGTGGCAACTCTAATAATGAAGCTACTGGCAGAGATCTCTGGAAATAGAAAGATGATCCTTTTTGACAAGAAAGATCAGGCTTCTACTCACATAAAACATGGAGCTGAATCACGGTAATTTTTTTTTTTTTTTTTTTTTTTGGGTACCGGGGATTGAACTTGGGTCCTTGTGCTTGCGCAGCAGGCGTCAAAACAGCTGAGCTAAATCCCTGGCCCTGAATCACAGTAATTTTAACCAGTCGCTGACCCTGCACCTCCAAAGAGGCCTCACAGGAGAAATTTCGGCCATCATCTTCCTCCTTGGCAGTAAACAGAAGCCAGGCAGGTTCCCCAGGGGCAGGGAGATCTGGGGCTCCTTCAAGCCGAAAAGTAGGACTGGGTGATGTTAGTTTATGCTCTGAGCAGGTTACATTAACATCTGTCCCTGCCAGGGAGTGTGATTCTTCTATCTCTAGGACTGGTGGAGGGAAACCTATAAAAAAAGAAAGGAAAAAGAAAATCAAACCCATTTTTCAAAACTGGCAGCACCTTGTGTACTCTTGCTGCTGGTGTTCTCCCTTGGGTAAGTAGACAAAAGAGGAAAGATTCTGGATATCATTACTGCCTCTTTAAAGCCTGAATGGAAGGAACATCAAAGTGTTTTGGGAAATTGAGAGCTTCTATTTCAACAAATACAGAATGCACACCTTTGCTATGCCTCTGCTACAAGGGAAGCAAAATGTCTTTTCATCTTACAGATTTCCTCCTTGACTCAAATAATTGTTCTAGAAAGAAGTTCAACCATCCATAGTCACTCTTCAAGCAGCATGGCTTTAGGAAACAGGGTGAAAATTGGAGAGAACACAACCTGCTGGCATTCACCAGAAAAAAGAGGAAAAATATGCCTGGCAAAGGTCACTCCAACCCATTACTGTTTAAGTTTTCAATGGTGGGTGGGGGGTTACTTACTATAGACATGCACTAGCTGCCTTGTTTTCTGTTCCACTGGACCCAGAGACACAAAGCATGACAGCTCCTGGTCACCAGTCTCCATGGCCCAAACAGTGGCATTGGCCCACACTGTGTCTCCCTTCCAGGAGAAGAAGGGGCTCAGCTCCTGGTCTCCCAGGATCATGTGGAATATAACTTCTTTGGCTGGAAACACCCTGGCCACCTCGAAGCTCACAGGCTCTGCCATCCCAACTTCCAGAACTGAAGAGACCCAGATCAGGGGGCTCTGAAAGAATTCTGCCAAGAAATTAGGAAAAGGAAAATAAAAAGAAAGGAGAAAATATCATTTGTCATGCAGGAAGGGAGTGGCGCTAAATGGTTTTTCTCTCACACAGTGAGTTAAAATAGAGCTGGAGCTCCATTACTCTCACAACCCCACCCTAAACCCTGTGGGAACTTGGTCTCAAAGACCATGGAAAAATGAACAAAATGAGCCTCAGGATTCCATCCATGCCTGGACTCTTGACTCATCAGAGATCCGGAGTACCTTGATGGCTGAGCTGCCATGAAAGAGCCCTCCACCTTATGAATTCAAATCCAGTTCTGCACTGCAGGAGAAATTGCATCTGTCATTCTCCCTCTGGGCTTTGATACTGATGGTGACCTCCCCTCTTTGAGAGGCCAAAGCCAAGCTCACAAAGTTCTTTCTGTACAGTTCTTGGTTACCCTGGAAAAGGGTAAGGGTGAGTTACTCCAGGGGTGCCACATGAGGCACAACGCACTTCACTGTAAAGGCTTCATCCATGGCCACCCAGTCAGGCTGCAGCTCCAGGATCACTTGCTCTGGCAGCTCTCTAAGACAAAGAGGCAGGGCTTGATGAAAGAGAGCCACCTACCTCTCCAGAAAGGTGACTGCTACCCATAAACTATCTTCCTGTCAGCCTCTGGCTCTTCTGCCTATCAAAGGTGGTGAGAGCCATGGCCAAGAAATGTGACAGTTAAGGGAGGTCCTTTGCTTTGACTGTTGCTGCCATTCTGGAGAATTTTATCTCTTATCAGAGGTGCTTCAGAGACATGACCAGCTTTGGGAAGCCTCCTTAGCATCACACAAAAACTCCATCCTACTTGAGTTCTTTACCCATAGGGATCCCACCTATTCTTTTTCTTTTCTTTTCTTTTTTGGTACTCAGGATTGAACTCGGGACCTTATGCTTGCAAGGCAGGCGGTGGAACCACTGAGCTAAATCCCCGGCCCTATCCCACCTATTCTTAAACAGCTGTAACTTTGACAATGCTAGTTTTCCACTGAAAGATCCTCCTCACTCTCCCCAATAACTCAAAGCCTATCCATTCTTCAGAAGGGCAGCTCAGGGCCTTCTTTTTCATAGACTTTGCTAGTTATCCCAGTTCAAAAAGACTCTCCTTTCTCCAATCCCTATTTATGCTAAGACCTTGTAGCAAATAAATCAGCATTACTTTAGAAGTTAGCATTAGAAGTTAGATTTAGAAGTTAGCGTTATTAGCACCTGCTTCCTGTATTTGAGGGTATTCTCAAGCAGAGATCTCAGGATGCCCTTTACAGTCTACTAATAATATAAAACCAGGACCAGGGATTTAGCTCAGTGGTTCTGGCGCCTGCCTTGCAAGCACAAGGTCCCGAGTTCAATCCCTGGTACCAAAAAAAAAAAACCCCAAACAAACAGACAGACAAAAAAATAATAATATAAAACCCAGAAGGGGATAGAAGTAACTGACTCTAGAATCCTGACAGTATGACAAACATATTTATTAAGAGCCCCAATTCTCTCCCGTAAGAGAAATCCCTAATTTTTCCCTAAATAAATTTAGACACATTTCTGTTTCCCCACTCCTCCCATTCCTCCCCAACCCTCTACCCCACTCACGATACACAGTGACGTCAAGGCTTGTATCCTTTTGGATCCCTGCACAAGAAAAGAAGCACTGCAGGACAAGTTCTCTGTGACATCCTCCAGGAGAAACTCCTTCCACTGATGCCCTTTATCCACCTGGGTTTTCTTTAAGAAAGTCTCGATTCCACTGGGTCCAGGGTCTGCGCAGGTGGTACTGCAGTTGACCACTAGGGACTGTTCAAACCCCACAAGAGTCTGATTTGGCCAAACAGAATCCTCAAATAGATACTCTGTGGTCCCTGAAGTGAACACATATGCCAAAGACTCTGGTGAGGACCACCAGACCCGACGAAATACAGAGGCTGTTCTACATAATTTTAGGTTAGAGAGTAGGGAAACTGCCCTGAATAAAAAGGTTCAGGGGACTGGACAAGAAAAGACCTTTAATAAACAAGTGAGAGCCTTGATTCCACCACTATTCCTTTTATCCATCTTCTTCCTTCAGATCATTGCTTCACTATGGAATCAAAGGAATTGTTAAAATCATGCCTCGGAAATCATTCTCTTCATAAGCTTTCAGAATTCTTAGAAACTCCCCCAGGTCTGTCTACTGGGAATACTCATAGGGTTAGCAGACCCCTGGGCAAAAGCTTTTTTACTTATACCTTAAAACAGTGTTTCCTCTCAAATTATAGTTAAGGACCACTTTCACTAGAATCACCTGGAATGCTTGTACAACTGCAGATTCCAACTTCATCTCAGATTGAGTGGTTACAAATTTGTAAAGATGGAACCTGGAAACATGCCAGAGAACAAAACAAGCCTCCTGGGACCTTTCTACAAACCTAACTATGAGAAGCACTGGCTATGATTACTCATTTCCCATTGAATTTTCCATTTCTTCCATTTTGATTCAATGCTAAAGTAATGGATGATTTGGGATCCCTATAAGTTTAGTCTGTGTTATGGCTTGGGTCTTAAATGTCATCCAGAGGCCCATACACTAAAAGGCTTGGTCCTTAGCCTGTGGCTGTATTGAAAGGGAGTAGAAACTTTAGGAGATAAGGCTTAGAGAAAGGAAATTAGCTCATTGGGAGCATGCCATAGGGGATACTGGGACTCCATCCCCACTCTTTTTGCTTTCTGGTCACCATAAAGTAAGTGGCTTTGTTCTATCACAACTCTTGTCACAATGTTCTGCCTCACCATAGCCCCCAAAACAATGCGGTCTAGCAACCATGGACTGAAGCCTCTGAAACCATGAGCCAAAATAACCCTTCCCTCCTTTTAAGTTGATTTTCCTAGGTATTGTTCCCAGTAACCAAAAGCTAACTGAAGTCTATTAGAGAAATCTCATGGTGTGTGAGAGACGTATCAGATAGGTTTTTAGACATCTGATGTAGGTGAATGGCACAGTCTCCTGATGTCTTACCTACAGGTTCCCTTTAGCCAAACCATGTCTGTTACCCACTGCACATACCAAGTGCAAGTCCCCTCTGGGAATACACAACTCTTATAGCAATGTTACCGGCTAAAGGCTTCAGAGTCCCTTTCTTGCCATTAGAAACTCATTCATTGCAACTGAGCTATGGGCCCTGTTCTGTTACCCACTGTGGCTCATCATGTCGCAAAGAGTAGCAACAAAGTAAAAATATTCATGAGAAGAAAAAGATAAGACAGTTTGGGGACACCAGAAAGCCAAGTAGAGAAGGCAAATTTCCTAGGGAGAGTTGTCTCTGATTATTTATTAATTTGGTTATCCCAATTATAAGCCAAAAACATTTAAGGGTTCTGTGTCCATGTGAACTAATAAATAGAAATCTCTCCTAATGGGTCTGGATGAACTAATACTGAAGTGTCACCATACTCAGGACTTCCCATCCCTGTCCTCCCTGACCTGCCACCTGTGTTCCAGCACACATACTAAAGAAACCTTCCCAAACAGCCTCACCTGGGCAAGGAATCAAGGCCAGCAGGGCCCAGACACCAAACAGAAGCACTGTCATCCTTCAGAGAAAGGCCAAAAGCTAGAGAAAAAGAAAAGCAACAGTAGTGCTGGAGAAAGTGGAGAAAAAAAAAGACACAGAAAATTCTTCCTTTCTACTGTTAGGTCAGCCCCTTTCCTAGCACCTTATATAATCTGGAGAAACTACAGCAAGAACATCAGTAGGGTGGGTGTACTAAAAGTAGTTCTTGCATCTATTCATCTAAGTTTGGCCTATGCATATAGGAAAAAGACAGGGAAAATATGAAAAACAGTGAAGGGATATTTGAATAGTAAGATTACTCTTATTAAATAACTTCCATCTATTAGACTGAACCAACAGAAGGGTGTCAGCATGGAAACATGACAAATAGGTTGAGAGAGATAAAATCTGACAGTGTACAGTGGAAAATGGCCCCGAATCTAGAGAACACAGACACTAAAATTCTGTTCTCTTACATAAGGGAGAAATGTTTCATCAGGCTCCTCTTTAGGACTTTTGAAAATATCCCTCAAAACAATTCATTTTTTTAAAAATCTGCCTCCACATTTACCAAACAAACCTTGGATTGCTACTCTGGGTGAGTTAAGTCAAAAGTCTCTACTTCTCTGTTCACCATAAATCTATTCCTTGCTTCCTTTCAAAAGCCCATTAAAGCTTGGAATGATAGTGCACACCTATAATCCCAGCACTCTGGGAGGCTGAGGCAGGAGGATTGCAGGTTCAAGTCCACCCTGGGCAATTCAGTGATACCCTCTCTCAAAATTAATAATTTTTAAAAAGGTCTGGGGATGTAGTTCAGTGTGAAGGCCCTGAATTCAATCCCCACTCTTGGGAGGAAAAAAAGGGAAAAAAAACCCACTCAAGGTAATTTCTTCTACGAAAATTTGCTTTTTTCTTGTGATGCTGTTAGGTATTAAACTTTACTCTCTAATTCTGCTTGAATTTTCAAACACTGGGTTTTGTACAAGTCTATCTTCTATGCTAGTCTGAAAAGTTTTTTTTATCCTTTTTATACATGCATAAGATAACAGGCCTATCAAAATTTATACTTTTGCCGGGGATTTAGCTCAGTGGTTCTGCCGCCTTCCTCGAAAGTGCAAGGTCCCGAGTTTGAGCTCCGGTACCAAAAAAAAAAATTTATACTTTTAAGTGAATGTTACTTTTCAAGATAAGCACTTTAGGAGGCTTTGAGCTAATTCCAGAGATGACTATTATTCAAAATTTCTTTTGGAAGTTCTTTAGAACTGGTTTTTTTGGTACCAGGGATCGAACTCTGGACCTTACACTTGTGAGGCAGGGGGTGGCACCACTGCACTAAATCCCTGGCCCTAGAACTGGTTTTTAAACTATACAAAAAAGAAAACTATCTTTATAAAATGAATTCTTTCTTTTTACGGGGTGGAGTACTGGAGAATAAATCCAGTGCCTCACACATATTTGGCAAATGCTCTATCACTAAATTACAGTCCAAATTCTTTAATTTTTATTTTGAGACAGGGTCTTACTAGGTTCCCCAGACTGGATTTAAACTTGCAATTTTCCTGAATCAGCCTCCCAACTAGATGGGATTACAAGCATTCATCACTATGCCTAGCTAAATTATCCTACTACTCTTTGAACAAATATGATATTATTCAGTCACTTTATTTGCTAAACTTAGCTCTGCATTACATCCCTTTCCTGGGAAGATCTGTTATCACCGAAAATATTTAAATAAAGCACCCAGACTCTGAAGGATGTTTCAAAATCCAAGTGTTAAGTAACAACTTTGTTGGAAAAAGCACAAGAGCCCAGGGTGGGACTGCTTATATTCATACATTCTTTCTGTAATTATTTCTTTTTTGCAAACAATTATTGAGCAGCTACAATATGCCAAGCTTTTTGAAAGATGTAGCAGATAGTTTTGTCCTGTGACATAGGAATTCCTAGAAATTTGGTGGGGAAAAACAAACGTAAAAAAAATAATACTCATGTGCTAAGTGTTATAATAAAGGGAGGAGGAAATAAGTGAGGATTAAATGAGTTAGTTCCAAGTCAAGTATATCAATAAAATAACAATGTTCTAGCCAAGTGTGGTGGCGCATGCCTGTAATCTCAGCACTCCAGAGGCTGAAGCAGGAGGATCACCTCAAGTTTGAGGCCAGCCTGAACTACACAGTGAGACCCTGTCTCAAAAAACAAACAAACAAACAAAAAGTTCTAAATATTTTTCACACTGTACATAAGATTTAGAAAATATCACTTGTTCATATCTAATATTATTCTGGAAGTAGCATGGAAAGGGTAGAAGAAAATGGCTTTCCTACTACCAAAAGATACATGTAACATTCATTTAGCTGGTGTGTGTGTGTGTGTGTGTGTGTGTTTGTGTGTGTGTACATAGGGGATTGCTTTTTGGCAGGTTTTTTGGTTTGGTTTGGTTTTTTGGTGCTAGAGATTGAACCTAGGGATTTGTGTGTGCTAGGCAAGCACTCTACCGCTGAGCTATATCCCCAGCCCATGCTGTATAATATTTTTAAAAATACTAATCATGTAAATTTGCACACTGTATAATCCAAATTAACTTGAAGCCTATTCTATTTCAATAACATGTTGTCAATCATATCTTACCTAATAATTTCTAACATTTAGTAAACACATACTGTATTCCAGGCATTGAACTGTGTGCTTTACTTTCATTATCTCATACTAATACTGTGATTATCCCTAATTTTACAGGTGAGAAGAGAGAGGCTAAGAGAGAGAACCTAGCTTGCCTCTGATCACACAACTAAAAGGCAAACCCAAAGCCTGGTGTGGTGGTGCACACCTGTAATCCCAGCACGCTGGGAGGCTAAGGCAGGAGGACCACAAATTCCAGCCCAGCCTGGGCAGCTCTGTGACTTTAGGGAAACATTGTCTCAAAATTAAAAGAAAAAAAAATTTCCAGGAATGTAGCTCAGTGGCACAGCACTTGCCTGGCAAGCGCAAGGCCCTGAATTCAATTCCCAGTACAAAAAAAAAAAAATTTAATTTTTTTCTTTTAAAGAGCAGGGGATGTAGCTTAGTGTGAAGGTCCTGGGTTCAATCCTGGGGACAGGGGGCAAAGTCATGATGCAAATCTAGGCATTCTGACTGCAGGCCAATGCTTAGTCAGTTCTTCACTGTTGCTGTACTTTCTGTGAATCCAGACTACTTTTACTATAATGGGCCACAGTGTCACAAACAATTTTTCAGAGGTTAATCTGAGACCTCCTATTAATCTCTCTATGGTTGTTGACATTACCTTCAACAAAGTTGACCTTGGTGTGAATTTATCTTATGTCTATGATCTGCTTTTAGTCTTAGCTGAAACAAAGGTTTCCCACCTCTGATTACTATACACCAAAAGGGTTGGCCTTTCCTTGTAGTTGCTATGAGTAGATACCTATGCCTATAAATAGGTATAAGAAAGACATTAGGGACTGGCTGGGGAGTGGTGAGTGGAAATTCTTTTTGTTTTCGTACTATATACTGACACACTTTGTTTTAGGTTGTTTCATGCCCTTCTCTACACCTACTCACTATTCCCACAGCTCTGACCCTTCATCCTTGCAGGGGCAGGTTATCAGATTCTGAAACCTGAGATTTTATATTTTGTTAAGGAGAAAGAAAGTAGCATCCTGAGGGGAAACTATTTTGAAATTTTAAAAAATTCCTTTGGCTTATTCTGTAGACTACATCCTAAATTGAAGGATTAAACTGAAAGTCCATTCTTGGGTATTTGCACTGGACTTCATGTACAAGTCTGGGGTTCTCAGCTTCCACTTATATTCAAGAGTTTCTTATAAAGTCTTATAGTTTCTTATAAAAAGGAGTGCCCTTCGCACTGTCTCTTCCCACTGCGTGGGATTCACTCCCCTAACACTACCCAGTTCAATTATCTCTGCAATGAGACCTACCCTGGCAAGCCTTTGTTCAACCATCAGTGCCCACATCTTCAGTCTATGCTACTGTTTTCTTTTCTCATCACCCTGTACACACCCATGCTTAGTTGTTAGGCCTCTAATTGGTGTCTCTTTCCCTGTAAGCCTGTATGAGCCACCAGGGCAGGGACCTTTCTGATAGATTCCAAGTACCTAGAGTGGTTATAAGTGTTCAGCAACTACAACTGAAGGAAACTGATAAAATATGTACAAATACTTATGCGAAGAACTCTGCCCACCGCTTGGATGCAGGACCAAAGGCCAATTGTTGCCGAGGAAAGAGCTTCCGTCTACCTGGGAGAAGGCAGTATACACATGTGGCCATGAGGGTTTTTGAAGGAGGATGGTATTTAAAACATAAAAATATGTAGAGCTGGGAGTGGTGGCGCCTGCCTGCAATCCCAGCACCTGGGAGCTAGAGTTCGATCCCAGCCTGGACTATTTAGGGAGACCCTGGGAAGGGGAGGGAGGGGTCGGGAGGGGAGCTCTTCCGCGAGTGCTCCTCAGAGTTCACTAACGTGTGAACTGGTGAAGCCCGCCGTGAGCTAGGCCTCCACAGATTTGACCAAGAGAAGAAATCGCCATGAACCCAAGCAAACCAAACAGACCCTAAATCCTCACTGAGCAAGGGCTGTCTGCCTGTCCCTCGGTCTCGCCCGGCCGCTCTTCGCTTCTCTGGACACCACGCAAGTGGAGTCGCTCCTCAGCCTCACCAAGGTTCTCTGGAGCCAGCCACGCGCTCACCGTTTGGCCAGCACCGCCAGGCGGGGGCGCTCCAGCTAGGAGACTGTTCCTGATCTTCCTAGAAACTCACGACGTCTATGAGATATCTCAGCAGGGTTGGCTGAGACTAGCAGGGCAGGCAGAAAGCTAAAACAACAGAAGGGGTAAGTGGGGATGATAAACGTAGGAGAGGCGGTTCTGTGTGGCAGAGAGCTCATATTTGACTTATGGTAATCATTACTGTATAAAACAAAGTGAAAATAAAAGGAAAATGTTTTCCGCAGCGAATAATGCCTCTATAAAGAAAACAAGAGGTTGTCCTCCCCTATATATTTTCGTCTCGTGGTTCTGCCTGAACACAAGAGATGGCCCGCGCGCATGGTTCTGTGCAAGTGGCAGCGTTCTCGCCTTGGGCTGAGAGTCTTTGAGGGTTGTGAGGCTTGAGTTTCTTTTTCTCTGTCAAATTTCTCCCAGACCGGGGCGTGCTGACGCAGGCCTGTAATCGCAGTACTTTGGGAGGCTGAGGCAGGAGGATTGCAAATTCGAGCCAAGTTGGGCAATTTAGCAACTTACCAAGACCTTGTCTCAAAATGTAAAAGGGCTGGGCAGTACCACAAAACAAACAAACAAAAATAAACCAACAACAATAACAAAAACTCCCGGGATCACAAGCCATTCCTCCCCCATGAGATAGAAAATTGGTTTGGCCGGACTCAGGCAATACTTGAAAAGAGTTCTTTTTGTGCCACCTCCACTCTGTTCCTGTACCCTGCACTCCACGTACAATATTCATTTAGCAACCAGCTCTTTCTTCACTTTCCTACCAAGTGTACCTGCGCTCCTGCTCACCCTCATCCTGCTCAGGAGTTAACAGTGAAACCTTAAAAATGGGGATGAGAAAAGAGGCCATCGTCCTCTTGCATCCCTCCACCCTGTACCCTTTACTCAGCTTCCATCTCCAACGTCTCCTAAAGATCTCAGTTGAAGGTACTTTCTCAAGACATTTGGCTTGAGCCCAAATTGAGCCATTCTCATCCAGCATCTGTGGTGACACTTTGTGTCTTTGGCTTTTCCTCAGCCCTTGTCCTGAGCCTGAGCCATGGGCTGAGTACCTGGGTGCAGTGAAATTTGAAGATTTGGGAGCCCCCCCCCCCCCGACAACTATGTGTATCCACTATCTCATGTAATATAACCTCCCGGGGAAGGAACAAGTTCAACTTCATTGTGTGGATAAGAGGACAGACCTAGAGAGACTTCACTATTCTCTATATGGGGTAGCAGGCAGACTTGCTAATGGTGGCAGTCTTGGTGTCCAGTGTAAGTTCTAAGAACTGTATTTCTTGACCTTTTATCCACCTCTAGATTATGAATGATACTTTTTCTTTCTTCTCCCCGCTTCGATAGGGGTCACTATTTTCCCCAAGCTAGCTCCAAACTCCTGGCCTTAAGAGTACCTCCTGCCTCAGCTTCCTGAGGAGCTGGGACTACAGGCACTTGTCAACGTCCCACCTGAGTGGTTTATCCTTAGGCTATCTCTGTTGGGTTTCTTGTATGGTGGTTTTTTGTTCTTGTTTTTTTGTGTATGTATGAGACAGGGTCTTGCTATGTAGTTCATCCTGGCCCAGGATGGCCTCAAACTCACGACAATCCTCCTGCCTCAGCCTCCCGAGTGCTGGGATTACAGGTGTGTGCCACCATGCCCAGCACTTGTATGGTACTTTTGCCATTGCTTTGTCTCTGTTTATATTGACAACTTGAGGAGAAAATTTAGGGTAAATATCCAGCAGTGCTCTGGCCAGACTCAAGCTAGCCCATCTCTTCCCAACTGTGTATGTAATGATATACATTGGTCACTGGAAAACAGCTGTGATGGGAAGTATTTATTTTATATCACTGAAATTGTCAAAGGTTCCACATTCAGGTTTTGTTTCAAGAACTGATAAGCATTTACTAGCACACCACTGTATATATCTAATTATTCATTGTTTTCTTTCTAGAATATAAGTGTTTGTTTGCCTTGTTTGTTGCTGTATCCTCAGCATCTAGAACAGTGCCTGGAGAGCATGCATTCAAATATTTAGGAAATGAATGACCACAGTCCATGATCTAACATCTTGATTTTCTTTGTAGAAGGACAACTCATGACTCCTTTGGAAGATCTTAGCTTTGTGACATCAATCTCTGTTGACTTTTCTGTTTTTAACTCTGCTTTTCTACCCCTTATCCAAAGGAACGAGGATTTGGGTCTGTCCAGAAACCACCACCTCTTCTGGCCAATGAGGCTGCCCATCACCCTGACCCTAGAGTCCTCTGTCAGAGGAGAATAGAGAAACTGCTTGTCAGAGACAGCCCTGAGCTCCTGCCAGCCTCAGACTGCTCAAAAGTGCAAGGTGGGGAGGAACCTTGTCACCAGTTCTCTAAAACACTGGTGGTGCTTCTTTTATTTATTTATGTATGTATGTATGTATTTATTTTGGTATCAGGGATTGAACTCAGGACCTTGTGCGCTTTCCAGGCAGGCAGTGACACCACTGAGCTAAATCCCCAGCCCGGTGCTGTTACTTTTACCTTTTCACAAAAGTTTCCAGTTGCTACCATTATAGAGGTTGTTTCTGACAGATTTTGGAGATTTCTGGGAAATTTTAATTTGGAACTTTTTATTTTATCTTCATGGCAATATTTTAAGAATTATTTGTGTATGTGATCATGTATTGTATACAGGTTAAATGCGGGCAGTTGATTGTCAGTTATATCTCAATACAGCTGTTTTTTGTTTGGTTAGTTTTTGGTCTTTTGAGATAGGGTCTTGCTATGTAATTCAGGCTGGGCTTGAACTATGTAGCCCAGGCTGGGCTCGAATTTACTGTGATCCTCCTGTCTCATACAGCTGGTTTTTTAAAAAGTCTTTATGGAAGTATTTAATATTCAGAAAGGTGGTTTTTTTTTTTCAGTATCAATAACCAAAATTTCACTTTCATGTGGGAAAGCTTTACTATTTTTAGAAATTTTTGTTTACCAGTTTCTTAATTTGTATATCACCTTATGTGTTTCTTCTAGCAAAATGTATTTGTGTTACAGTGCTCCTACTGCTTCCTAGTAAATTTCTTACTTTTCCTCACTTTTAGCATGTTTATTCTTTGTTTTGTTTTGGTCCTCCACAAACATATTCCTGGCTAATGCATATCAAATCTGAGCCAAGTTCATAATGTATTTCATAGTAACCCCTTCAAGCCATTCTCATTTCTCATTTGTGGTTTTGATGGTTTTATTCTTTTATGATGAACATTTCTTCAAATTGCTACAAATCAACATCCTAATCATTCCTTGTTGGACACCAAAATGTCTCCCTTTAATTTTGGGAGGATTTTTCAACTTCAAGTGATTTAAATTTTTTTTTTTTTTTTTGAGACAGGGTCT